AGGAGAAAAAGGGCCCAAAATTCTTTCCATCGATAACTCTTTATCAGTTAATATTTTGTGATACATTACTGAAGCAAATATCTTTATCTCAACCGTCTACAACTATATATTATGATTTTTATGTTGTATGGTACATAATTAGGGACCACAAGGGGCCAGAATGCTAAATCTTTTATGCTTTATATCTCGAAAGAGAGAAATATTTTGATAAGTTATATTGAACAAAAGATTTCAGAATCATGTTCTGAACAATATGCAACCTTTCATTTTTCGCTAAACGTCCCCGTTAGGGAGTTAAAGGGTTGGCCCCTAAATATTTCTTTTGCAAATGAACTAGAAAACGAAAAGGAATCTCTGAATAGTTGTTGAACAAAAAGTGTTCAAAATCATGAGAGGTTTAAGATAAAATCCAGAAAAAGGGGCTGGGCACTCAAATTAGGGGCCAAGAGGGGCAAAACGTCTTTAATCAATAACTCTTTATCAGTAAATATTTTGTAATACATTACTGAAGCAAAGATGTTTATCTCAACCATTTACAACTATATATTATGATTTTTATGTCGTATGGTACATAATTAGGGGCCTCAAGGGGCCAGAATGCTAAATCTTTAACGCTTTATATCTCGAAAGAGAGAAATATTTTGATAAGTTATAATGAAGCAGAGATGTTAAAAATAATGTTCTGAACAATATGCAACCTTTCATTTTTCGCTAAACGTCCCCGTTAGGGAGTTAAAGGGTTGGCCCCCTAAATATTTCTTTTGCAAATAACTCGAAAACAAGAAACAATCTCTGAATAGTTGAACAAAAAGTGTTCAAAATCATGAGAACTTTAGAGGAAATCAAGAAAAAGGGGCTGGACACTCAAATTAGGGACCAAGAGGGGCGAAAAGACTTAAATAGATAACTCTTTATCAGTAAATATTTTGTAATGCATTACTGAAGCAAAGATGTTTATCTTAACCATTTACAACTAGATATTATGATTTTTATGTTGTATGGTACATAATTAGGGGCCTCAAGGGGCCAGAATGCTAAATCTTTGATGCTTTATATCTCGAAAGGGAGAAATATTTTGACAAGTAATATTGAACAAAAGATGTTCAGAATCATGTTCTGAACAATATGCAACCTTTTATTTTTCGCTTATCGTCCCGTTAGGGAGTTAAAGGGTTGGCCCCTAAATATTTCTTTTGCAAATGACTCGAAAACGAAAAGGAATCTCTGAATAGTTGTTGAACAAAAAGTGTTCAAAATCATAATAGCTTCAAAATGAAATCCAGAAAAAGGGGCTAGGCAATCAAATCAGGGGCCAAGAGGGGCCAACGTCTTTAATCAATAACTCTTTATCAGTAAATATTTTGTAATACATTACTGAAGCAAAAATGTTTATCTCAACCATTTACAACTATATATAATGAATGTTATGTCGTATGGTACATAATTAGGGGCAATAAGGGGCCAGAATGCTAAATCTTTGACGCTTTATATCTCAAAAGTGAGAAATATTTTGATAAGCAATATTAAACAAAAGATGTTCAAAATAATATTCTGAACAATATGCAACCTTTCATTTTTCACTAAACGTCCCCATTAGGGAGTTGAAGGGTTGGCCCCTAAATATTTCTTTTGTGAATTACTCGAAAACGAAAAAGAATCTCTGAATAGGTGTTTAACAAAAAGTGTTCAAAATCATAAGAGCTTAAAGACGAAATCAAAAAAAGGGGCTGGGCACTCAAATTAGGGACCAAGAGGGGCCAAAAGTCTTAAATCTCTAACTCTTTATCAGTCAATATTTTGTAATACATTACTGAAGAAAAAATGTATATCTCAACGTTTTACAACTATATATTATGATTTTCATGTCATACGACACATAATTAGGGGCCAGAAGGGGCCAGAATGCTAAATCTTTGACGCTTTATATCTCGAAAGAGAAAATATTTTGATAAGTAATATAGAACAAAAGATGTTCAAAATAATGTTCTGAACAATATGCAACTTTTATTTTTCGCTAAACGTCCCCATTAAGGAGTTGAAGGGCTGGCCCCTAAATATTTCTTTTGCAAATAACTCGAAAACGAAAAGGAATCTCTGAATAGTTGTTGAACAAAAAGTGTTCAAAATCATGAGAGGTTTAAGATAAAATCCAGAAAAAGGGCTGGACACTCAAATTAAGGGCCGACAGGGGCTAAAAGTCTTTAATCAATACCTCTTCAGCAAGCAATATATTGATATACATTACTGAAGCAAAAATGTTAATCTAAAAATCTACAACTTTATATTATTATTTTAATGTCGTATATTACATGATTTGGGGCCACAAGGGGCCAAAATGCTAAATCTTTGACGCTTTATATCTCAAAAGTGGGAAATATTTTGATACTAAAGATTTGAACAAAAGATGTTCAGAATCATGTTCTGAACAATATGCAACTTTTTATTTTTCGTTAAACGTCCCCATTAAGGAGTTGAAGGGTTGGTCCTTAAATATTTCTTTTACAAATAACTCGAAAACGAAAAAGAATCTCTGAAAAGTTGTTGAACAAAAAGTGATAAAAATCCTTAAAGCGTTAAGATGATATGAATAAAACGGGCTGATTCCTCAAATTAGGGACCGTGAGGGGCCAAAAGCCGACTTTTTAAAAATCTTTAATGTTCAATGTCTTTTAGCAGATTATGGAAAATCATTATTTTAGAATGACAATCTCAATCTAAATCTTATCTCATCTCATCAAGAATCGGACGGAAGACCCCAACTGTTGCTCGCAATGAGATCGTATCTAGTTATTATTATTTTTCTTCTTCTTCTTCCTGGAACTTTTTTGTCCGGGAATGATCTTGTAAACTGTTCGTCCGATGTAGGTAAAACCTTTTTAGGGTTAGTAGACATGTTATGTAGATTTGCGGAATCAAGGTCATTTTGCGCGCACGTGCTTGCAAGAGCGTGCACGTGCAACACGTGAAATTACCAATATAATAGATATAGCCACAACTGTTCTATTTTTAAATGAAATGCTTTGAAACTCATAATGTGAGGATATATTAGTAGTATAGACATGACGACATGGTGAAAATAGCAAGATCTCACGCGCATGCACGTGCACTTCGCTCTGATTGGCTTCAACTAAAGTCTTAATATCTTTCTTGTTTTTTGATGAAATCCTTTGAAATTTTGGACATAGCCATGCATCAGGATATCCTACAACAAGAAATAAAACAATTATCATGAAAACACGTGCATGCACGTGCGCTGCAATCTGATTGGCTGAAACTTTAAACAGCTATAACTCCCTTGATTTTCAACCAAACAGGATGGGATTTGGAACATAGATAGATATAATGGACTTCTACAAATAGGTATGGTCACCATGCACATGCATACACGTGCGTGTACATGTGCTGCAATCTGATTGACTGAAACTTTAAACAGCTATAACTCCCTTAGTTTTCACCCAAACGGGGTGGAATTTAGAACATAGATAGGTGTAATGGACTTCTACAAGAAGGTATGGTCACCATGCTCATGTATGCACGTGAAATGAGTAAAATCAAACATACACTTGAATGAGCGAATTTTTTTTTTTATAATTTTGGATTAAATACTTTAATATTCAGTATATTAAAAATATAGATTGTGTAGACAAGATGATATGGTCATGACGCATATGCATTCACATGTGCACGCGTGCAATGCTAAAGTTTAAATGATTTTTGTACACTTCTTTGTTAATGTTGTTAAAATCTCAGATGCATAGAGGTTGTCTTATTTAATGAAGCTTACAGGGAATATGGCACCAAAAGGGAGTTGGGGAGCGTTTGGGTACATCTGTAACGGTCCCCGTTACAATTAGCACTAGTTATTTCTTCTGTTGTCTTTTATTTCGAAATTCCTTTAAAATTATTTGCAAAGTTTTGCATGCTAAAGCTTTCTTTCTTTCTAAGGTTGTCTTTGTTTTTACAGATCGACCGTTCTTTCTCCTCTTTAAATCCATACGCCATTTAACCATTCAGAAAATGCTTGTTCAGAAGAATCTGATTCTATAAAGCTTAACAATACATAATTCTCCTCATAGATTAATGTACAAAAGAAAAAAGAAACAAATATCAGCGTGGATCCATTGCACTCTTCAAAGATCAATAGAAATACTTGCTTTTAAATACAAAGATTATTGCGATTAAACGCAAAAGTTATTGCAATTAAACGCAATAATTATTGCGATTAAATGATCAACCGGTGAAGAGCGGGTGCTTATTACTCCTTGGCACCTGATCCTAGCTTGACTTTTTCCATGGTCAGTGATTTATGCACTATTTCGTTGTGTCCATTGGGTTAATGGAGTTGATCGAGGTTTTTTATCTTCACCTTTACACATCAACTTCTGAGTTCTGAATGTGATTGTCAGGGATAAAGTAAGCTCTGTAGGTAATGAGAATATATTCACACAGTCTGTTTATCTAAAAGGACAAAGTCAGATCTGGATACAGTTATATAATTATAGTTATTTCTAAAACATAGGAAATATTTTCTCGTTATTTTTAATGACAGATTACAGGCTATGTCCTGGAGAGTCAAATGTGATTTTTAAAAAAGTAAAGGCGTGACTAATGTATTAAAGAAAGTTTTAGTCTACCTTGATAATCAATGCAATATCACAAATAAAAACGGTACAATGTACATAATGTTTATAATTATGTTATAGTGCATGCAAGCCATGAGGTGCACTGTGAGCAGAGTTTCTCTTCAGAATGCATCATATTTTAAATCTTTGATGTCATATAAAGTAGCTTATTGTATTTCCCATCCTCCCCCCTTTGTACCAATTTAAATAGATTACAGTAAATTATTGTTCACCATTACTGTGATTAAAGATTACCTGGCACATTGAACTTTACCGATTGGATCCTTAAACAAAATGCTCTGTTATCACCCGATGTAATTGGCTGCTAAGAGTCCTCTATTATTGCCTCCTCATTGCCGTCAGTCTCCAGTGTTCCGTCATAGATTCACAACTTATCTACCGTCCACTTCTGTAACGATGTTCTAGCAGCCACGACTCTCCTGTAAGTACTTATCATTACAAGACATATTATGGACAGAAAATATCGAAATCGTTTCCTACGTATGCAGTTAGACTAGTCTGTAAACTCAATGGAAAGTTGAATATATTTATACCTCTCAATTTGTGCTAAACATGCTAAATATATGAAATAAATTACTAGGTCGTCGATTCCATATACCTGTGCAAAGTGAAAAAAGACGGTTTAAGTTTTCCATATAATAATATTAATTTTATTTCCTAAAATTATGGTGTGTGGTTTTTTTTAAATGAAGAATAGCATTATGAGCATAAAAGATCAAGGAGACAAATTTCGCAACGAAATAGAGTATAATTTAGAAATTCTAGATAAATGGCTGAGGTAAGCTCTAAGATGACTTGGTTGAAGCGCGGGGGTCGGGTCCGCCCGGGGGATGGGAAGAAGGAACCCTCCCTGGCCAGCTCCATGGAGTCCCTGACCCAATCACAGCTGAACCTGGCCATTATGGACATGTTAAACCTTGGACAGAACTGGAACAGGTGCGAGGAGGTCTGTCGAGGTAGGACCGGCAAAATATAGAATAAATAGAGAATAATACATACGCTTTTCCATATCACATCCTGTATCAGCCCGAGACACCAATATCAGCCAGAGGACCGAAGGGCCGAGGGCTGATATTGGTCGACGGCTGATACAGGATGTGATGTGGAAAAGGGTATGTTTTATTATATTCATTACATAATTAGTAATAGAATAAACAACACATTGTGAGAGAGAATATAAGTAATAAGTAAGTAATCATGAGACTTCTTAGAATGTGCTCGGTCTGTTGCCTTATACAGTTTTGGTTTGTTTCTACATGTACATGTTCTTCTATTTCAAATGTCCCTGATCCGTAATTTGAAAGTAATTGTCAATTAGATTATCCTTACATTCAAAAAGTTAATAGTAAGAGAATGTGTAACCCCCAAAATATGTGTATGATCACAAGTACTGTTTTTTGAAGTTTAATTTTACTAAGGGTGTGATATTCATCCGTATCAGCCCTGCAAATCTATATCAGCCCCGCAAAATCCATATCAGCCCTGGAGGGCTGATACGGCTATTATGATGTTAGCGATATGGCATATGCAAAAAAACCTGTATTTATTACTAAGTATGTAATAAAGTGCGATATATGGACATTTCCTGATTTCTATCTTAATGGATAAAAAATTATAAATATTAAGATGGTCTTTCTATATCAAGAATGTGATTAAAACCCTCCGAAAACAAACTGCAGCAATTTTTCAAGTTTATTTTGATAAATTACTATTAATTCATTTCTTACACTACGTCCGCAGGTAACCCTATCACGGACGCCGGTAAACGCCAGCAGATGGTGAAGATGTTGGCGGTGGTGCTGATTCCGGTCATTGTACTCACCGGGATGACGGCCAACACCTTCATTGTATCCCTGGAGAGTTATATTGTATCCTCCAAAATCAGCAGAATTCTCTATTTCAGGTAATCTATGTATTCTGTTAATCCTGTAAAATCAGCAATATTTTCAATCCGTAGTATATTTTTACATATTTTCTTATATTTAGTGTTAAAGCCCCTTAAAATTACACTGGTTTATTACTTTCTACTAGGGTGTTATAAATTCAAGCTGAATTTAAACCGTTCATACATGTATATATATATATATATATATATATTTATATATATATATATATATATATATATATATATATATATACATAACAATATGACTGGTCATTTGCTTTTTTCAGCATCGAGTTGGGTATTTTGCTCGGTAACATTCAGAGGGAGCGGGATATGAGCGCATTGTACGTGAGTAATATAGAACTGGAAACCAAAGACCTGCTCCTACAGCGATACCCCGACACCGACATCGCCATCCAGAACCTGTCCTCCTGGCCCACCAGCGCCAACATCGTCCGAGACGAGTTCCAAACCCGAGAGAAGTTCCTCTCATACCTCAACAGACACCGCTATCAGCTGGATTCTTACAACAGGACTATCAAAGAGGAGCTGCAGTTCTACTCCGACAGCATCGAGTGGCAAGTTCCACAATGGTAATGAATATAGAACATGATTTCATATCTTAGATGTGGTTTGTTCTTTGAAATTGTGGGAAGCAAAGAAAGGTACTTTGGATGTACTATGTACTGTACGTCACTAATTTTTTCACATCTTATTATCATTAGACTGTATTTGGTACTTATAATGTGTTTATTACATATAACTTTAGCAAGATAAAGAGTAGTTGTGAAGAAATAAAGCTCTTGCAAATAATAAGTCATTTACTTGATGCTGAATTGAAGTTGTTGAAAGCTTTGTTTAATGAGCAATTCTTTTTTGTTTTCAGCTGTTAGATGCAGCCCTTAACAACCCTGAGCAGTCCCAGTTCATGTGTCGTGAGATGATAGACCAATACAGGGGATTTGGAGGGGTGAGATACATGTATTTCTTATATATCTAGAAATATTTATATCTCAATTTGCATTATATGTATACAAATAAAATTGTAAAAAATCATTTTATTTTATTTGAATTTGAAGACTGTTTTTAAGTGGAAAATTCTTCATTTGAGTATTCATTACATGAGTAAATATAAAGAACAATATTTTAATGGCAGGTTCGTATAGAGGATGATGTAGCAGTCAGAGAAGACGGGATGGAACTACTGACCTGTGTCCCCCGAACCGTGGAGGAGATTGAGAGTCTGATGGCCGAGGGGAAACAGCGACCCCAAATCCCCCTCCCACAGGAAGTGAAGTCATAATCAGCTGACTGAGGGGAGACAACTTTCCCTGATCCTCCTACCACAGGAAGTGAAGTCATAATCAGCTGTTTTCAGTAAGACTGAACAGTGTATTCATGCATCATGCAAGTAACATTTGTTATATACATGTGATAATTTTCTTTGTCATTTATTTTTAGTTGATTGAATTCGATAAGTTGTGATTTCATTTAATGTATGGTTGTAAAGTGAATGACATTTTTGTAAGATGTATACCTCTTAACTGATAAGATCTATAATTAAGGAGGCCTCCAAATTTACAAGATAGAAATATATTATTAAAGGAGGTATAATATAAGCCAGAAGATGTCTTATAGATTGTCTTTAATTGTTGAAGAACTAAATGATTTAATACATGAATATGGTGCTAATGACATGTGATTGGATCAAGATAAATATATTCATTTTTGTAAAAGTATATATTTTATTCCAGATGTTTATTTGCCTAAGCTTACTACCGGTACATTCCAACCTATTGAGTTCATTATTCACAATAATATTTATTCACAAGCATTTTTAAACATTTTATACATCACACATATGTACAGCATACCAGTGTAGGCCTTAAAAAGTCTTTACACATGATTCAGAAAAAACTCTCTCTTTGAAACAAAAAGAGAATTGCAAAGATCAATTAATTAAGCTTTAGGATTTCTTTAAAATTAAAAACTTTTTCACTTGCAATTCATTCACAAATGACCTATTTGAAAAATTCTAAAAGCTTATGAATATTACACATTTTACCCTGGCAATACAGTAATACATTTGACAACATTTTTAGCTCTTCTGAGCCAAAGGCTCAAAGAGCTAATGCTATGGCCATTTGTGCGGTGTGCGTTGTGCGTTAACTTTTTAGAATATGGGCCATAACTCAAGAACCGGCCTTGGCCAATCATTGTCAAATTTGTCACAGGGTATCCTTGGCCCAAGGCCTACCATTTATAAATGCTAAAATTAGGGGTGGAACCTTAAAACAAGGGGAGATAATCAGGAAAATAAAATCAAAAGTACTGGTTGCTGGAAAAATCTTCTCCAGAACCACCAGGCAGATTTTCACCAAACTTACATACAAGGGCTCGGGATATATTGAAGATTAAAAATTGTTCCAGGCATGACCCTGGGGCAAAGGGCATGGTTTCAAGGTCACTTCAAAATTTACGATTTATTAAAAACGTTGATATTTTGCTTACTATAAAGATAAATCATAAATCTTAAATTATGCATCTCAGGATGCATCTCAGGACTTCACATCATGTTAACACAAAAGTAGATCACGGTGACCAACTTTTTAAATTTTACTGGCTTTTGTTTTCAAATTGATTTGGAGGCATATTTTGGACACTTTAAGGCCTATGATCATAAAACTTTGTCAGTTGGTGCATCTTGGGTCCTCAAAAAAAATCAACTTAAAAGTAGGTCATTGTGACCTACTTTTTAACTTTATGGCAAATCTTTTATAAAACATAATCCCATTATTTCAGACACCGAGAGGTTTAGAATCAAGAAATCTTGTAAGTTGATGCATCATGGGGCCTTAAAACATATTT